GGCGGCGCGGGGCAGCCGGGGGCCTGAAAGGCCCCGCAGGCAGGAGCCCTCCCACCCATCCCACGCCGAGATGTCCTGGCAAAGCCTGCCGCCCGGCTCACTGGGCAGCCTCGTGTCAGCTCCAGGCAAAACGTTTGGTGCCTGCTGCCTCCCCTGTGGGAAACACAGGCTCCCGGGGAGTCTTCCCCATCATTCGGGCAGCTTTGCCAAAGGAATTTGAAAGCCTCCATGAATTCAGAGCAGAAGAAAGGGGGAATGCTTCAAATCTCAAATCTACCCAGGACCACAACCTCTTTATTTCCCTCATATTGAAAGCCAGAGCTCAAAATAATAACTCATACTCTAATGACGAGTAGGAGCAGACAGATCGCAAGCAATCCCGAGGCTGACATATGCTCATATTAAGCATTTGGTGATAACTTAAAATAAGTAACACGTTGGTGCAATTCACAGTCAACTTGTGATTAAGCAACAAATAGAAAAGGGTGAAATCATGCTAATAAATATTTCACCCAGCTGCAAGGAGGCCTCTGCGGGAACACGGGCTGTCGCACCCCGTGGTAAGATGAGGAAGGAGGCAGGGAGCCAGCCCACCCTGGGGCCGAGCACCGGGTCGCTGCCCCTGCCGTGGCACTGCGCGTCCTCCTCCTGCCAAGGAGACATCCAGACTCCCGGCAGACAAAATGAGCAAGTTCTCATCTAACTTTTCCTCTTGAAATCTGTACGGCTGGCCCACTTTACACTGAGCGCTATTTAGCCTGCAGGCTACCAAAAACCGGGGCTGAGAAGCCACGTATAGGCTCGAAGACACGTTCTAAGTGCTTGGCTCTAACTTGACTCAGTGCTAGAAGTAAGGAGGTGAGCTAAACGACTGGTAAAAATAATCCTATTAAAATATTCTCCTTCTGCAAAATCCTTTGCAGAGAATTTCATAAAGCTGTGCAAAGGAAGGTGTTTCCAGGCTGGAAGGAACTAGGAGCTGGGAAGCCTGCAGTCAGGAATAAAGCCTTAATGCTGCACAGCCCTGGAGCCCCGAGGTGTCCCACAGCACCGGCCAAGAGCGGTGCCCGACTGGTAAAAATAATCCTATTAAAATATTCTCCTTCTGCAAAATCCTTTGCAGAGAATTTCATAAAGCTGTGCAAAGGAAGGTGTTTCCAGGCTGGAAGGAACTAGGAGCTGGGAAGCCTGCAGTCAGGAATAAAGCCTTAATGCTGCACAGCCCTGGAGCCCCGAGGTGTCCCACAGCACCGGCCAAGAGCGGTGCCCGGATGGACAAGGGGACCGGCACAGGGCGGGAGGCGCAGCCAGTCGGCAGGGCGCGCGCCCCCTCCCTCCG